AATTCTTAATCGGAGAGCTGAGTTTCAATTCTTGTTGGGTTTGTTATATTCATTTACGCGCAAATACCTTTGGAAAAGGTATAAACCCACCCCTCGCTATGGATTAATTAGTAAGACTTGTATCACTAAACCATTATTCTCTAAAAAAAAATTCTTAGAATCTAAAAATTTCCTGGCCTTAAATAATGGTTGATAAGCTGTAGCAAACGAATCAATCAATGGTTACCTGAAGGTTATGAGTTCAGTCCGGAGCAGAGTAGTGCAAAAAGTCACCACCTCTGATTTACTGTCAAAGACAAGGGTATCATCATCATTATCAATTAATCACTAAACTAATTCCATAACCGATTGTGGTTGTTACCCACCTGAACACCTGCCTAACCAGTTCTACCTATATGTACTGAAATCCAAAAGTAGTATCCATTCATGTGTATCGTGTCTTGGACAAGTAGACCTGGCGGAGCCGATGTTTCTCCAAATGGAACCACAGTCGATCTCGCCGAATTTAGGAGACTCGCTTTGGTAATGGACACGTAATCGTTGATTCCATCAGGGGAGCCCTTTGCCCTGGCCATTGACTTGATACCGTCCTGACCAAACTGGCTGTATGCATAGCTATGGAGTCACGTCTACCCCATTGTGTTAGGTGGCCTTCACAAGAAGGTTTATTCGCGCTTTGACAGGTCTTCTTTTTAGTCTTGCTGAGTGTCTAACCAACATCCTCACTAAAAAAGCCTGATGGGAGAAGCAGTTTAGTCACCGACGACCCGACCAGGTAGCATTGGGTTACAGTCTTCCAGTAGCCTCCGTATAATGACCTGACATTAAAAGCGATATCACAAGATCTAGTTAAGTAGAAAGAATTAACTGATAAAAGTTATCTCCCTTTAGTATGGACAGGGAAATGAGACCAATTTACCGAAACGTTGTGATAGCAACAACCAAGATGAAGATACTTGGCCGTGTAAATCATTGTATAATAACCACATGCAGCTATTTACTAAACTTTGTTTAATCTGGAATGGAAGTTGTTAGGAGGAGGTTTCGAGAGCTTTTCAGTTCTACTCGTAAAAGTACCTGAGTGGTCATTCCTCTAACCTATCCCAAAGACGCAAACATCTCGTTTACTATTTACATTATTTACATTGTTCGGACTGTTGTACTTATCTTTATTGCCATATTGACGACGTCTCGGTCATTGTACGCTTCGGCCTTCTTCAGGTGATATTTGTTGGAATTTCGAAGCGAACCCTTTATTTTTCACAGCGTACAACGTCGTGTAATATGGCAATAAAGATGAGGACAACAGCCTGAATAATATAAATAGTTACAATACCTCATCTCAGAAATATAGACAGATGCTATCCTTGACTCTATTTCCGTGGAAAATGTTTTGACGAGACACGTTCTCGAGTTCCACCAGTCTAGACTTTTACGTGTCACGTAATCTGGGACGAATCATTCTAATTTCGTTCGTGTTCCTTTAGTAAGGAGGAAGCGCTTCTTACCTCTAATTGTTACCGTAAATTCAGAGAGACTTGAACGTAAGAATGGCCAATGTCGTATTCGCACTGTTAGAGTTTATCATGTAAGACAAAGTTTTCGAAATAAAATTGGTTTTAACCATGCGTTGCTGGAAAAATATTCAAGATATATTAATATTAATGCAGCGTCGCAGCTCAGACCAGGCACCAGGTTCGTTCCCTTCGGCCTCTTCCCACGAATTAAAACCATGAGAATTTGTAGCAGGAAGCAGGTTTTATTTTCAGGTTGTAACCTACTGCTATAGATGAGCGAAGCCGAGATGAAGCGAAAGTGAGAGGGGAGGTAAGTAGTCTAACGGACGTCTTCCCTTTCGTGTCGCCCTCGAGGTCATCTTCTCGTCACTCTACGCCCCTCTGCTTTTTTTTTTGCGGATAGAGACCACTGCCTTATAGAGAATATTGTTCTTTGGCATTTTTGTCTAAAAAAGTAATTTATTTTAATCCAGTGACTTACTTTGTCCGAGCTGCTTGCCATGATAATTGTGAAGTCCACGTTATATAGCTGATAATCCTCGGGGAAATAAATGTCTGAAACCATTTTTGTGGGAGATCAGCTGTTTTCCATTTAACAAAATATCAGCTGACACTAATACATTCGCTGCGGAAAGCTAAACACGGAAGATTACGGAAAGCTAAGTGCGGAACTAATCTTTCTTGTCTAAATTTGTTTCAATTACTGCGCACGAGAACTATTTACGCAGACACGCTCAGTTTGCGCAATGATATCTACACTGATAGTTATTCTTCAGCGAATGTATGCAAACAACGCCAGTAATGGCTGCCCGTGACGCGAATGAATCCGAACTTTCACTGTTGATAACTCCAAGACGGTGTAGGAAGGGACCAGGTGTTCGAATTTCCCAAACGGTCACCCATTTTAGTATTGACTGGACTCACCGCTGCTTAACTTTGGTAATCAAACGGCAACCGGTATTTTCATCGGGATTTGACCGTAGGCGCTTTATCTTAAACTAAAGAGATAAAATAATTTAAAATATAAAAAATATTTTTACTTGAATTGTGTTTAATTAATTGAGTGATTCTTCTACGGTTTATCAACCTTTTCAGGTTATTGAAAGCAAGGAAATATTTTTAGATTGTAAGAATTTTTTTGCGATAATAATGGTTTAGTGATACAAATATTACTAATTAACCCATAGCTTGGGGAGAAGTAGATTCATAACTTCCCCAAAGGCATTTGCGCGTAAATGTGTGTAAAGAGCCCAGCTGAAATTAGAACTCTTCTCTCCGAATAACAATTCTGAAACATTATCCATTACACGACCCACATATCTAAGTTTACAGTATCAGGTGATATTTAGCTACCCCACCACGAGGGTTACATGTGGAACAAGGCCGGGTTTAACGTGGGATCTCCGAGCCCGTAGGCTCGGCCAAAAATATTTCCTCTTTAAAGACGCATAAACGGGTTCAGGGGCAGTCAATCACCCCGAACGAGACTCTACCCTTCGGCGGAGCCTCGTCCGGGTTCTTCTCCGCCCGAAGGCAGAGAGTTAGACTGTTAGCCAAGTTAACAATTCTGAAACATTATCCATTACACCACCCACATATCTAAGTTTACAGTATCAGATATTCCCGAGTGGTCACCCATCTGTGTAATGACCAAGTTTGACTTTGCTTAACTTCGGTGATAGTGAATTTTCTTTGAGCCCTGCGTTCCTGATCAATTTTAACCCTTCTGCTTGATATCCTTAGTTAAAATTCGTAAATAATTGGTATGTAAAGTTTCGCGGTAGATATAAAAATAGTTACAAGTGTTGACTGGATATTAAGTCATTTTACTCTTTCACTGTTCAAACGGTCGCTGGACATTACGTCATTTTTTTTCTACCACCGGTAAAGCGGTCGTCAGGGCTTAAAAGGGTTAAGCAACCTCGTTACCTGCAAACAAAGGAATGGTCATGACTTTTAAAAAGTACAGTAATATTATAGATATTTTATTATTACGTACTTCCGAATATTTTGATTAACAAAGAAAGCCCAGGTGCCTATCCTCTTTGTAAGGAGGAGGACATCCTATATTCAGGTTTTAGCGAGGACCATCCTTTTTCGAACCCCGAATGCCAGCGCTACAAAATTACATAGAACCGTATCAAGTAAAAAACAAAAAAACAAAAAAAAACACACATCACTTGAAGAATTTTAATAGAAGTAACAATTAAAATGGATATCGCATGTAACTCGAAGAGAAAATACGAACATAATCAAGATGCTGACATTCCACATTACGTCAAAAACGGTTAGAAAGGAAAGCCCCATCAATACTGGAAAGAATGATAACAGCTACTAGAGAAACCTATTTTCCTGAAAAATTGTATTAAGAGAAAGTTTTTATCAATTCAGTCAACGAATGCCGAATGTTTCCTTATAAGAAAACATTTGATACCATTTTTACCACAGTTGTTAAAACAAATGAATTGGTGTAAAAATCTTTATTTATTTATTTTCGATTTAATTAATTTATTATTTTCTGCTACAAAATTATTTACAATTTAAGGAAAGTAAAAAATGAGAATTTATCATGCTTGAAAAAAAAAAAAAAACACACTGACCATCTAAAAAATAAAATTTGATAGTTTAATTTTAAATATTCTTTGTACATATCCAATTGTAATTGACAAAATTCAGTACCAAAAGGTCCTATATTTATTATCGAGATAGAAACCAAAGGATATTTTTGTAAAAGAATTTTGTTTTAAAAGCTTAAATTTTAAAATTCAGTTGTTGAAAATAGATTTTTTTTTTCAAATTCTACGAGCGAGAATAGTGTACTTAATTTAACTTTAAAATTTAATTCGTTATTTTATTTTATTTTTTTTATTAACTGATGATAATTTTAAATGGGAAATTGTTCAGATGACGAAGAAAAAAATAAATCAATATTTAAAAAAAATTCCATTAAATTTTCTTGTTTATAAAACAAATGAGCAACAAAAAAATTTATTTAATTTTAAGAAGATAAAATAAAAATTTTGCAAAAGAATATCAAATTGATTTCTTGGGTTTCAGACAAATTTATAGACAAGACTTTTCAAAAAAAATTTTAAAAAAATGTGAAGAAAGAAGCCCCCATTTATATAGGAAAGCGCGATAACAGCTGCTGGACTTGAGAAACCTATTTTCCGGAAAAATTGTTTTAATGGAAATATTTTATAGATTTCGGCCGACAGGTGCTACCGGTCAATGAATGCCAAATGTTTCCTTATAAAGAAACGGCTAATATTGCCATTGCTGTTAGACAGCAGAGTTCAAAGTCCAGTCGAGTTCATTACATTCAGTTACGTGCTAATACCCTTGGGAAAGTTATGAATTCATTTCTTCTTCCCCCCCCAGCTATGGATAAATAGCAGGACAGTCTGGAATATATAGCCTTGTGTGGTAACTGGTCTAGGAGAAGGAATAGCTCTGAATTCCAAACCTGTCTGATTCAACTAACTGCTGCCTTTTATTTCTAGCTTATTTACGTAAAGATTAGAAGAAGGTAACTTCAAAAACCAATCCACGTCGCATGTCTTGGAGAATGAAACTATTCCACCCTACTTCGAGCCGCGACAGAAAATAATGAACTCCTTGGGCTTAGTATAATGGTTCGAACTCTAGGACACGTTACGGCACCGTGGACCTCTCTGATTTCGAACCATTCACCCATGGCATTTTGGACGATGACCACTACAATTACCATTTAGTGCAACTCGACGTGGTCTAATGGTTAGCAAGCTTTTCCTACAATAACAATTGCGGTTGTGTAATGGGTTCGATCCTCTTTGGGAGCTCCACACTTTCGGTCTTTTGCCACATTTATGCTACGCTTAGGAAATCGTTTTATGTAGTGTACTGTTTGGTAAGCGTGGCTGGCAAGGACAATTACGACTCAGTAATTAATTCGATCCTCACTGGGTGCTCTAAGTTTTCGGTCTTGTACCACATCTAATCTGATGTTAGAAAATCACCATTACCACTTATGTTGAAAGAATTGCCTGAGGAAGACAATGAGTTGAATAAAAGAGTTTGCTAAATGGAATCGGTCTGATTCATGAGAATGTTTTATCACAATGTTTTGAAAAGTTCATCAAAAGACCCAACCGAAGAACCGGATTTCCAGAATTGCACTTTTCTTACTACTTTACCTACCGTTAATTGTAAATAAGTTCAATGCAATAAATTATTAACTGTTATTCTTAGCCTTTCTTTGAATTCATTCTTCGCCAGCGTTATTATCAGTATGTATTTTATTCAAATCATTGTCTTCCACCAGGACCGTGTACCTGGTAAACGATAGTAGTAACTACACCACCACCACCTAATTACATCATATCACATAGAAAAACACTGTCAATTATTAAGAGACCAGTTCATTAACTAACGCATAACAACCAATAATCGCATTGCACACTTAAGATGTCGACCAAGGAGTGGTGTTTGCGTTTGTGTACGTTGTGTGTCATCACTGCTTCTAGTCGTAGACCGCAGTTTGTGTTGATGTCTTATCTAAGACTTCCTTTTCTCTGGATGTTCGCCCACATTGTAAAATTATTTTACAACCTATCAACGAACTCATCGTTCTTTTGTCATTTATATCAACGAATCAGTTCTTCCTCGGTGGTATACTGATGAGTATCCCCGGCTGTCACGCGGGAGACAGGGGTTCGATTCCCCGACGAGGAGTATTAATCCTATTTTATAAACTTTCCTGACTGGAATCGTTCGAAATTAATGATTCCTCACCGAGGAGTGTCTATCCTATATACTTCGCTGGATTTGGCCAGGGAAGTTTGAAATTAAGGTTAACTCAAGACCCCCCTCCTAATCAGTACATCTCATTCGGGTGTTGATTACCCGGCGCCTGAGACGTCCCCAAAAGGAGAAGTTTCGAGGGGCTTGAGCAATTTTACCACGGTGAATACTGCATTTTCACGACACACGTGCTACTATTTAACCCATATCCTGGGAAGAAATGTAATCATACGTTCCCTAAGGGTATTTTTAAGTAAGTCAATATAACGAACCCGAATGAAATTAGAACTCGGCTTTTCGATTTCTCATTTCGAGTCGCTATCCATTGTACCACCCGCACAAAGACAAACGCCAAAAAGGTAGCCAAAAATTAATGAGGAGTGGGGGGGGGTGCTAAAATTTTGAAAAACTGAACTTCAAACAAAACAATTAAACAGACACAAGGTGATTTTAATTGTTATTATTATGTATGCTCTCTTTTTCTCACTAAAACTAAGCAGCATTTTTATCATATATATATTTTTTATTTCTGTTTTTCCTCGCAGTCAAAAAGGAATGGTCCATTATTTATCCGAGGTAATGGCAGAGTGTAGCACAAAAGCTAACTAACTTACTAACTAACGGAAAAACAATCAAAATTATAGTATGACTTCTTTGTGGATTTCTTAAAGCGAAACCTTTCATCAAATAATGGTAGTTGTTGATTTTGTTCAGCGGCACATCAATCTCTATGGGTTATTTAATGCCGAAATCTAAATATTTTGAACGTAATTTTGTAGCTTCACCTAAATATTTTGAACGAAATTGTATGCGTTTGACTACAGATAAAATGTATTGTTGGTAATTTTACTATAAATATGTATTGTTGGTAATTTTTTTATATAAAAATATATTGCCGGAATTTTTATTATAAATGTATTTTTATACTTTCATAGGTTTTTTTTTTGTTTGGGTGGATTACTATTTTCCCATAGCTGGGACCCTAACAGGTGCTACGGCCAATGGTCAGGGTGGCCCTGGGGACAACAGCAATTAAGAGGTGGTTCCACGCTGCTGAAAACCTCCAATCTCCTGATCAGAGGCCTTGCTGCTGGACGTAGTTTATTGTCATACCCAGGACTAAGGAACTGTGATAAAAACTGTTCATGTTCTGTCTCACACTCAACAAGTTTCTTTTGTCACCTGGTTATACGATATTCTT